ATCGGTTTGATAGCAAATTCGGCAAAATATCGATTCTGTGCTCTCAATGGTTGTGATTGAAGACCTGGATAATAGCGAACGCACTGAAAGACTCAATGATATATCGTCGCCAATAAATTCATCACAACTATTATCTCTGTCTATATTTGGATTCATTTTTACTTTAAAATTTCAATAATTCTTTGTGCGCTTTGTCTCAAAAATATGTAACTTAAAGAATATTCTACAATAAATATCATACAGTAGTGTATTATACTATATTTTAACTGATAATAAAAATAAATAATGCATTTTATAACAAATCAATTGCTTAGCAACACATGTATACATCTATTCAGTGCCGACAGACCCGCAATCATATGAGTTGTTAGTAATTTGTTTATTGATTTGTTGTATTGTTTTAGTATAATAGTCATACAATAGATTATATTTTACAGTTAAGATTGATTGATATACAGTATAGTACAGTATTGTATAGAATTCATGCATTGGTTCAAAGAACAAGCATTTTCATTGATTACTCAATAAGTGAAAGACTTTTGACTATTCTTTTGTACAGAATATTCTGAATATTTCATTATTTATACATTTCAATAATTCAAATTGGTATTTTATTTATTCATTTAGATTTATTAATATGACATCATATGAAATTAAATACATAAATAATTACTTAATGTGTTGATAATTCTCATAATAATAACTATTTTGTTTATTTAATAAAATAAATATTGAACTAATAAATTAATGATCTCTATATTATTTATATTATTATATGACATATTATATGTTATCATATAATTATAGGATGATCTGGATAACTAAAGTAAATATGCAAAAATCTTTATTTATATACTGTAGAATATTGTAATAAAATATACAAGTATTTTAGTTCCTCAATAAATAAACTATTTTCCATTTTTATCATAAAATATAAAACATTTTTTATTTTAATATAAGTTAGTTTTAATGACAGTTATAGTAATTATAAAAATAAAAGCAATATTAGTTGTACATAATTATATTTCAATAACATCTGATTAGATACGTTAAAAATAAAAACTCTAAAATATATTATAATTGTAGAAAGACTTGAAATCAAATATAATTTTCACAGTTATTCACAACTACTTGTGGGACCGCATTATCATCGCTTGTATTCAAAACCAATTCAATGCTTATATTCTTCTCTCGCCATTCATGAAATGATTTATTAATGTACCTTTATCAAATAAAACACAATCAATATTAAACAATAGGGCGAGTATACGGTGGGAATTGATTGAAATGTTGTAACAGACCTGATGGTGCACAACAACATAATGGAGTAGAGAACCCATGAGAATATAGTTATGGCCCAAAGACTATAGACCAGAGCTTTCATTGAGTGCTGATCCGAATAGTTGACGAGTGATGACAATATTGTGGCCATAATTATGAGTGGTGTTGAGATCACCATCAGTGTTGTGATCACCAACTCTACGGTAAACTCTCTGCTCGAAATCACGGCTCTCATATACTATCATATAAAAGGAGTTCAATGTTAATACAATTTCTATATTTAAAAAATGCACACTTTGTCTATTAGTACATACTTTGAAAAATGTGGGATAAGTTTTATGAGAACTATAAGTGAAACCACAGATATCACAACAACTAGTGGAGGCGACGGATGCCCACCTTTGCAGACATTGGTGATGAACGTTAGCCATACTTCCCATACAATTGCAGGGAGATATCATCTCTGAGTTCCCAATGTCTGGGTTCTCGTTCTGATGACATATCCGACAAAATGTCGATTCATTGCTCTCTTTAGTAGTGTCCGAAGACTCGGTTCTTAATGATGTGACCGATAGGCTGATGGATATGTCATCTCTAATTGGATTATTAACACTTTGTTTGTCATCACCCGTAACATTGTAGTCAATAATATCAGAATGGTTTCTTAGATGACAATTATTCCCAACCGTTTGATCAGGCATTTAAATTACAATTTACAAATGTTTGAAATGACAATCAATTGAAATTAACGTGTTTTTAGTTTTATTTCACTTATAATGAGATACAGTATATTTAAAAAATAGATAAACTTTCAGAGTACGGTATTCATAGTATGAAATGTGATGACCAAGATATAATATTCGACACTTTTTTAGTCAGTTTCAAATGAATTTTGAGACCTGTACTCAAAGTAAAATTAAGGTCTACATTCATATTCACATTTATTAATGAAGTGTTTAGTATTACTTTATATCAAACATAATAATAAAAAAGAGTAGAATTTCTTATCTCTAAACAATGCCATCAACTGTTGTCCCGACAATACGACAATATCACACAAATCAGTCAAACAAATATCAATTTTTATATAAATACCAATATTAAATATTTTAAATGTTTGACAAATAAATCTGCAAAAATTACCTATATTTAATTAATTAATTTTATATTAATATTAATCATATTTCATCACATTAATAATGTTTTGAATTAGGTTTAAGTATTTGTGTTTAAAATACGAAAAAACATAATTCAAGGTGTGATTAGAGTCCTAAGCTCTTGCGTCTAATCCCCCATAAAATGATAAAAATAATAATTATTGTATAGAAATATAAATTCTGTTACTTTTCCATTGAATGTAAAGAATGCATATAAAAGATATTTACAGTGAATGAATTGATAATTCATCAAGTTCATCTAATACAGAGATTTAGTGTGGAATGAAAATTATAATTTATATATCGTAAATATAACTTGAACTTGTATAATAAAACTTGATTTATGACATAATATGACATATTATACTTTTTAAAAGAAATCCGTATTTTGAATGATTTGTAAATCAAAAACTTTTTTATAAACTTTTATAGTATAGAAACTACAGTACTACAGTATATCAGTACAAGTATACTTTACACGAATACTTTTTAAAATCTTGATTCACAATTCATCCAAAATACAGTATTATACTGGGTACAATAACATGAAAAATAGTGTAAAAATTTAAAAATGCTAAATCCATTTACAATTGAACTATTGATGTGAATGGATTAGCAGAAATAATATTTATATTCGTAATAGTTTGACACTGAACAGTTATTACCAGTGAGTAACGCACTTACTTANAACATGAAAAATAGTGTAAAAATTTAAAAATGCTAAATCCATTTACAATTGAACTATTGATGTGAATGGATTAGCAGAAATAATATTTATATTCGTAATAGTTTGACACTGAACAGTTATTACCAGTGAGTAACGCACTTACTTATTTGTTAGCTTACTAGAAACTAGAATGATGAAATAACTGTTAACTGCTAACTAAAAATTATTTTATCTATTCCAAATCATAGCCCAGTATTTTGACATAACGTTATTATGTCCTTTTAAATAATACTGTACCGTATAGTACAACATAAACTAACAGTACTGTACGTAAACTTGTAGAGGCCTTCAATCATTTTTTGTAAGATTTAGTAAAATTGTAATGAAATGAAATTTATTTCACATAAATTTGACTCAATCTTCAAATTTTATTAATAAAATTTACAATAATATTATTAAATATTAAGAACAATATTATACTATTTTGAATCAATTGCATTTCAAATAGGTTAAATTGTTTTTAAGGCACTTACATAATATGTCCAGAATAATTTATCTCCAATATTCATTTAATTTTATAGTCTTATAAGTTAGTTAGCAATTTAATTGTTAGTGAAATTTTGTAGAAGTTTTACAAAGACTATTAAACCGAAATAACTGTTAATTTAAATATAATTTAATAGAAAAAAGAATTAAAAATATATCAAATCTTAATTTTAAGCAAAATATTATTATTACCATTATTACAGAATCTGTATTTATGAATTATCAGTGTATGGAAGAATAGTTACAAAACTTCAATAATTGTTCCTGATTCTTATTTATGATTAGAATTAACCTTGAATTAAATTTTTTGTAAATTCAAAAATACTGATAAATCCAAGATATTTGTACACCCTTTTGGTCACTCCATTCTTGACAATAGCTTCACATAAGTATCTCAAAGTTGGTCTCAAAGTGCTTTAAATTTACACAAAGTGATGAACACAAGTACACTATTATATAAGTCTTATATTATACACAAAAATATAAAGGGCTGTCAATTCAGTTATCATAATGATTGTT